CTTCTCCCCTTTTCACCAACGTCCCCACCCCCCCAATCCCTCCCCTTCCCTCCTTGCAGCTGGGGACTCTTACATAATCGAGCGCTACGGGGATCCAGATTCTGCAGTTCAAGCATGTATGAACTGCCGAGTTGGTTAAGGACAAGCAAGCCGAAGCCGAAGCCGCTCGACAGAGGACGACGCAACAAGAACAAGAAAGATTAGGAAGGCAACAAAGCGCGAACTAACCCTTCCGCCAAGCCGAACTGATTTCGGGTTGCATAAACATTTCAATGGGGGGGGGGTGAAAAAAGGGGGGGGGGTTTTCAACGCTCTGCATTGAAGAAGCGAAGCCGGCTTCGCCGAGCATTTGGTTTTTTTTAGGCGTAAAGCTTCGCTTTTGTTATCAAGGGCACAGCGGAGTCCTTTCCAATTATTTCTGCTGCAGGCCCGTTTTCTTGATGGTATGGGCTCAATCAGAATCCGTTCTCTTTTATCCGAATGGAAAGAATGAGCGCAAGGCATAATGAGCGTGTTCTCCTCTCGCAGACAACCGCTGAAGGCACAGCTTGGCCCAAGAAATTCTCTGTGTTTGCTATGCCTGGGATCTCTTGTTCCAGCAAGATTGCAAGAGGGAACCATAGGCTGATCCTAAATGAAGCTTCAGGCAAAGGAAACACATATCCTCAAATTACCCAAACAGGAGCAATAAGCAGAAGCAAAAGATCACAAGGGGGTCTCAAACTATCCTGCGCTTCTAGAGACAGTTTGGTGTAGTGGTTAAGGTGCTGGACTAGAAACTGGGAGACTGCAAGTTCTAGTCTCCATTACGTATGGAAGCCAATTGGGTGACTTGGGGCCAGTCACTCTCTCTCAACTCAACCCAACCCAACTCAACTCACAGTTGCTGTTGGGAAACAAAGGGCAGCAATTTTATACCTTGAGTTGTAACTTGAGTTGTAATTGTGTTTTAATTAGTGACAACAAACACCGAATAAGGAATTTGGGATAATTCCTTATTCGGTGTTTGTTCTCACTAACTAAACCACAATAAGTCAATCAGAGGTCAACAATCCCTATGTGATCTTCCCCAAAGGTTTGCTGAGCCCTTTTCCTCTTAAAATTCAACAGACCTATGATTGGGAAACTCATATCAGCAACAAGACTGTTGGAAACATCCTTAGAATGAACTTTTAGGAAGTTAAAACGTCTGAGATGTTTTGCAACGCCTTTAAAAATCTTTCTCAGCTTGCAACTTATTCATTATTTTTGTACTGCTAATTCTGAACAGTTTGTCTCCAACTGGCCACTGGAGACAAAGATGCCAAGGGGGGGTTGTTATCTCACTTGCTATGGAACAACCTACCTGGCAGTGGGGTGGAATGATCAGTACACATAGAAAAGATCCTTTCATATACCAATTTTCCTGCAATGATAACAATAAGATGGTGAATTGTGCAGCAATTCTAGATGCAAGTTCTGGAAAAGAATTATTGGTTATCAAGTATATGGATTAAAATTAGAAAATTAAAGGACAGCTAGTTTAGACCTGCTAGCACCAATGATGTTACCTAGTTGGGTCTTAAAATGCCTGCAAGAAAGCAACCGAGCTCAGAGAGCACGAAGGACCCCACAGTCCTTTTCCTCTTCCCCCACTCCACAACCCCCTCTCTCTTCTAGCATTGATGATGTTATCTAGTTGGGCTATGAAACATCTGCAAAAAAACAACTAAGCTCAGAGAGCGCTAATGACCCCACAGTTTAACCCCGATCTAGAAACATTTTCCTCTATTGGCAAAACCTCTGCTGTAAAGTTGTTTTGAAATGAATTAACCCTCATGCTATCTATTCCATTGGAACTCACAGGAGAAAACAGAGGGTATTATGTTTAAACGACCAAGTATTTTAAGAAATGCGCTGAAAAATGGGATTAGCTGGATACCCTTTCTAAAATCTTTTGTGGCAGACTCACACCACTTCCATCTCCTGCTGTCAGAGGAGAACGGGTTACAAATCTAAATAAAGACTTCTTTTTCTCTGTCTCCTCTCATTCTGATCATGTTGTGCTTTTGGTTTGCTAAATGCACTTTTGGCATTACATCATGCTGCCCTCAAGTGGGATAATGGGCACATCATTTTATCTTGCTTAAACCCAGATTTAAAAGAGGATCTAACCTGTTTTATTAAATTGCAGAATGAGAGAGGCAGATGCTCAAAAACTCCCTCATGTGTTATTATCCAAAAACTGCTTTTAAAATAAGTTGGTGGCGCATATTCTTATTCATATTCTTATTCAAGCATTTATTCTATACGGTAACTTACACAGAACGTCTATAAGGCTGCGTTTCCCAACCTGAGTCATTTTAAGAGGTGTGGACTACAATTCCCAGGATGCCCCAGCTAGCCAGGGGTTAACCACAGCCAACCTTTAACCACAGACCTGAGGTCATAGTTAACACAACAGTTTCCCAAAATGTTCGGAACACCCCTATTTTTAGAAATTCCGGTTGCAGATAGAATTTATAAAATGTGTTAATTTGATCAGTCAATGAAAATTGTAACTATACAAATATTGCTGGCCTTTGACCGTAATAAAGATTTACTTAGTTACTTACTTACTTACTTACTTACTTACTTAACTATACAAAGTAAATATAACAACATATCCTACCTATTATTTTCATAGATTAAGAAAACTGTATGAGTGGTGATTAAGACTGCCTACTGCCAATTACCTCCACGCGACCAATTAGATCACATAGATTAGGCCTCCTCCGAGTTCCATCTGCCAGTCAATGCCGGCTGGCAANATTAGTTTCCACCCATTGCTTCTTGTTCTACCCTCAGGTGCCTTGGAGAATAGCTTGACTCCCTCTTCTTTGTGGCAGCCCCTGAGATATTGGAAGACTGCTATCATGTCTCCCCTAGTCCTTCTTTTCATTCAACTAGACACACCCAGTTCCTGCAACTGTTCTTCATGTGTTTTCGCCTCCTGTCCCCTAATCCTCTTTGTTGTTCTTCTCTGCACTCTTTCTAGAGTCTCCAAATCTTTTTTAGAGAGCTCCACAAAAATTAAACATCAAAAACATACCTTCCTATCAGAGTGTTCTTCCCACAAGTTAAAGCTCTAAAGCTAAAGACCCAAGGAGTCTTCTTTGATCAGTGTGCTAAATTTCAGGGACCAATCAATAAAAAAAGCTCTTTGCATCCCAGACATATGTCTTTCCCTATATTTAATCTCCTACACAAAAGAGACCATCAGCATAAAATGAAATTGTAAAGAGATGATGGAGAAGTCTCAGGCCAGAATCCCCAATGCCACAAGCACTCCACTTACCTAAATTTACAAGTAGCTCCTTGACTTACAACTGGTCACATTTGAAGTTAGGATGGACCTCCCTAGAGCTAGTTACGACCTCGTTTTGAAATGCTTAATGATACCATAACATTGCATTTTGAGCACTTGGCTACTTTTTCCTGCAGTTTTCCCCCCCGGAAACTTGTTTACTTCCAGTTTACATTAAAAAAAATACCCATTGTGTATAATAAAGGTAGAGGTTCCCCTCGCACATATGTGCTAGTCGTTCCCAACTCAAGGGGCCAGTGCTCATCTTTGTTTCAAAGCCAAAGAGCCAGCACTGTCTGAAGCCGTGGTCATGTGGATGGCATGACTCAATGCCAAAGGCGCATGGAACACTGTTCTCTTCCCACCAAAGGTGGTCCCTATTTTTCTACTTGCATTTTGTACATGCTTTCAAACTGCTAGGTTGGCAGAAGCTGGGACAAGTCACAGGAGCTCACTCAGTTATGTGGCGCTAGGGATTCGAACCAATGAACTGCCAACCTTTGTGATCGACAAACACACCGCCTTAGACACTCAGGCACCACGTCCCCTTATGTATAAGAGTTTTGTTTAATGACCACCATCAAAAAGCTCATACAATCAAGCGTGGTCACCAGGGTGATCTGCTTAGCCATCGCCATGACTTATAACTCTAGTTTCTAACTCCATTACGGCCATAACTAGAGGACTACCTCTATTGAATTATCCAATGCTATCAATGCTTACGTTTTGGAAAGAAATTTGTTGCACTTCAGTATCGATGTCTCCACATAACTGGCACAGAGTCAAGGAAAAAAAAATAAGAGTTCAGAATAAAATTGCACCCTAGCCAAAGAAGCAGATAATATATTTCCAGGATTGTTATAACAGCTTCCTTGTTATCAGCAGTTAAGGATGCAGGTAAGTTAAAACATTTTTTAAAATGACAGTTTGCAAGTACGTAGACAGCCTAGGCCAGGGGTCAGCAACCTGTGGCTCCGGAGCCGCATGTGGCTCTTTCATCCCTCTGCTGCGGCTCCGTTGCTCAAAATATGCATCACAATCGCCAATGTGCGACACCCGCTGGCACGTGATTTATTGAGCTTTTCGACCCCCCAGTAGGCCAACCATGGTTACTTTTGAGAAAAGTTTCAGAAGAAAACAGAAGCTTTAATTCAAATACAGATGCTAGTTCTGTGGCCGCTCTGGAAATAGCCAGGCACGGGAAGGGATTTGTGGCCCCCGATGTTTTCTTTTCGGTGGGAAACGGGTCCAAATGGCTCTTTGAGGGTTTAAGGTTGCCAACTCCTGACCTAGGCCCTTTCTATAATTCTGCCTGCTGGAAGAGGAAAAATTCTCTTGATATTCATACTTAATAATTAGATTTCCCAGATTTTGAGAAATCAACGATCAGGTATTGATCAGGTTTTATTGCAGAGATCTTACTCCACATTTCAGTAAGAGTTCCCGTGGCTACACTTAGTCAGATAGATAACTAGTACACACTAACTCGTTTATTGCTAACTTGGTTATTGCTTTAAAAGTTGAAGTTTTTCAATCTCAGGAACTTTGAGATGTGTGTGATTTCTACTGGCCCGATCAGGATCTCTCATTTGGAGATCTCTTGATACCCGCTTGGCACATCTTTCTTGTTTCCCTCCTTGGAGAATACGCTAATGCCATTTGAAATCTGAGTATAAATCAGGTAATATTTCTTCCATCAAAGTCTTATTCCAATAAGGATACAATCTTGGGATGAGTTCTCGGATGGACGCAATCTTGAAAAACCAGTTTAAGCAGGTTTCTTTGGCGGTATCATTCACACTTTCAGGAGTAAAATTATCTGATGAAATTTTTTTATATAAAAAAAAGAGAAGTTTTCATTAAGAATCCGCTTCCTTGTACTATCTCTCCATTAAATTAGATACGGTATTGTAATCGTACAGATCTGAGAAAATGGCATTCAAGCGCATAAAAATATAGCATCATTAAAAACGCTAATTTTAAAGGTCATTATTTTGAAATTAGAGATACCACTACTTTTCGGTTTGTGATGGTTCTTGGCATTTTCCAATTTCATATTTGTGAAGGTTTGATTAATAGTAGTTCAGCATTTAGCAGTGAAATACCATTAAATAGCAATTAATAGCAATAGTATTTAGACTTACAGTATAAACCGCTTCACAGTGCTTTTACAGCCATCTCTAAATGGTTTACAAAGTCAGCACATTGCCCCCAACAATCTGGCTCCTCATTTTACGGACCTCGGAAGGATAGAAGGCTGAGTCAACCATGAGCCAGTCAGGATCGAACTGCTGGCAATGGGCAGAGTTTGCCTGCATTCTAACCAAAGTGTCACCATGGCTTAATAAACTGATTGGTTATTTTACTAATACAGGCATTTATTGAAGGGGAGGGAAGTCTACAATGATACGCTCGCTTATTTAAGCATGCAGCCCAGTAAACAAAATGCAACATATTTCTGAATATGATGTCAAAAAAAAAAAATCAATTAAAGGCTATATCCCTCCCAGGACAAATAGCAGCAACAAATGGAATATACCAGCATCCATTTCTCTTTCCTGGAAAAAAAACACCAAACTGAATCCATCAATAAAAACTTAGGTAGGTATGTGTGTGTGTGTGAGAGAGAGAGAGAGAGAGAGAGAGAGAGAGACAGACAGACAGAGAGACAGAGAGAGAGACAGACAGACAGAGAGAGAGACAGAGAGAGAGAGACAGAGAAAGAGAGAGAGAGAGAGACACAGAGACAGNCCCTGAGTCCCCCCAGGGAAAAGGGCGGCATATAAATAAACTTTCATAACTCATAACTCATAACTAATGTCTATAATAGCATAGCCAAAATAGTACGTCTGTGGTTAAGGGTTAAACTGGCTAAGGTTGGAAACACTTTTATAAGGGGTGGGGGACATGTGTATTCAGGAACATCTGTGCATATGTGAAAATGATATCCATAATTATTTCTAGCTACCAGGAATGATAGAAAAAGCCTGCTGCCCAAGGAGAAACAAATGTTTAGAAACCATTCAAAGGTACGAGGGCACTGAAAAAAAGTGACTTATGATCGGTTTTTTAAAATAGAAAAAAAAAAATACAGTACGCTCTATACTCACCAAAGGTATCAAGAATGTCTGTTATTAAGACAAATTTACTGGGATAAAACTGAATCACGGTTGTATCTGAAAGAAGTTTAGAACACTGGGTGGAGAGAAAAAAAAGGGAAACGGGAATTAATCCGTGGCGTAATTACACAGAGTGTCATTTCGCTGATTAAAGGGCAGCTCAAAGATAGCCTGTCGGTGGGAGGGCAGAGTTTATCCACACGGATTGCCATGCCAACTCCCCAGCATTCTCTGACTTATTTCCTGGCTGACCCTCCGGCTGCCTATATGGATTTCTTCAGCACTAAATTCCTTCTTAACCCAACAGCGAGGGAATGGAACCTCCGCTAAGCCCCACTGTATGATTTTGTAATATGTTCCAGATGTCATTCCATCAGCAAAAGATAAACATTCCCAATAAAAGCAGGGAAGGAGAAGGTAGAAAAAGAGATGCCAGACTCTCCTCAGACTTCCACAACTGAATACTCCGATGGTGAACCCCTGGGAAGTCTCTTTTCAAACCCTCCCCAACAAACTTTGCTGGACGAAAATTAACCAGGGAAGAAAGAAAATAAACAGATAGGAAGAGGTTGCTATTTCTACCCATTAGGGTTGTTATTAGTTGGGCTGGACGTCTTCCAAACAGGCCAGTTGTGCTCAATGCTCCGAGAGCAAGAATAACAGGACATCTGGGCCTCCCTGAATATCCCGTTGCAGAGATTGGTGTGTATTTCATATGGCATAACAAAATACAGCATTGGTGCATAAAAACCCACCCCAAAGAAGCCTATCAAATGCATATAAAGGTAAAGGCTTCTCTGTCAGTTGTGCCTGTGTTTAGGGCACGGTGCTCATCTCCGTTTCTTGGCTGGGGGAGCCAGCGTTGTTCCAAGACAATTTCCATGGTCATATGGCCAAGCATGGCTATACGCCAAAGGCGCATGGAGCACTGTTACCTTCCCACTGAAGTGGAACCTATTAATCTACTCCAGGGGGTGGGATTGAAAAATGTTACCAACCGGTTCTCTGACGGGTTGCTGGGTGGGCGTGGCCATGGTGGGTGTGGCCTATTCGGCCTCCTGCACCACCGGGGGGGGGGCGGGGCATTTTCACCGTCCCCAGGCTCCAGAGGCTTTTCCCAAGCCTCCAAGGAGGCGAAAATGGTCTCCTCCGGGCTCCAGAGACGCTCCGGAGGCCGGAGATAGGCCCTTTCTCAGACTTCCAGTATTTCCAGTAGGCCCGTTTTTCACCCTACCCAGACTCCGGAGGACTTCCTCAAGCCTCCAGGATGGAGAAAACAGGCTTCCCCGAGCTACAGAGACCCTTTGGAGGTGGGAAATGGGGCCGTTTCTGGACTTCCGGGAGACCCTTTTTTCACCCTCCCAGAGCCTCCACGCAGGCCGTGCACTTACCTGGCATGATGAATGGCCCGCGTGAAGACTCCTGGGAGGGGCGGGGTGGGCGGGGCCAGCTGGTCCTTGCAGCAACCAGTTCAGCGAACTGGTACGAACCAGCTGAATCCCACCCCTGAATTCTACTCCCATTTACATGCTTTCCAGCTGCTAGGAAAGCGGCAGCTAGGGCAAGGAATGGGAGCTTATCCCGTTGCATGCAGCTTGGGTCTTGAACCCAGGCAGTCAGCTCTCCAGCGGATAAGCTGAGGATCCTTAACCGCTGAACCATCGCGCTCTTCTATACAGCAAAATATAAAATACCAGAGCAGTGAATTATTTTAAAAACAGAAAGTATAAGTGATAATTAGATCGCATAGATTAGGCCTCCTCCAAGTTCCATCTGCCAGTCAGTGTCGACTGGCAACTACACGGAGGAGAGCCTTTTCAGTAGTAGCTCCGACCCTTTGGAACGATCTCCCCGTGGAGATTCGTACCCTCACCACCGTCCAGACCTTCCGCACAGCCCTCAAGACCTGGCTATCCCGTCAGGCCTGGGGACAAAGATAACTGTCCCCACCCGAATGATGAATGAATGTTGCT